GCAATCCCTTCTCCTCCATTCTCCTCGGGATCTTGGGCACGCACGCACATGCACTCGGCGAGAGTTTAAGCCACCAGGTCTGGGAGTTGAACCATGGTCAATTACATGGGAGTTCAGCAACATAGCCATTACGCTAACTGCTGGTCCCCCAAAGTGAATCAAATTTTAAAGGCATCTGGTATATACTATTTTTCAAAAGAATGACAGAAATATTAAGTACAAATTTTCCAGTAATTCTCTCCTCCTCTATCCAAGAGGCTGTTTTACTGACAACAGAGCCCTATATTAAGAGTGTATCAGCTGGCTAGAAGGCAGTGTTGTGGTTAAGGTGCTGGGATTCCCACATAGCTGATGACAGTTTGAGTTTGGACCTGGTGGCTTAAAAATCACACTGGGAGTATGTATGTGTGTATGTGCTCAAACTTCTAGGAGGAGATTGGAGAAGGGATTGCAGTGTGGCCATCACTCCTGGGGGGTGATTTATCACTTTTCCTCTCTTTGTCTCTCTCTGTTGAGCACATATGCCTATGGTGAAAAACAAAAATAAAAAGATAAATCACTTTGTATAAATTTCAGTGAGATTTTCCATCTTGAGTAGAAAACCATTTAAGGCAAAAAAAAAAAAAAAAAGAATATTAATTTAAGTTGTTACTTGGCCCATAGCATAACACTGTATGTATGGAAGAGACTCAATACAAAACTCTTGAAAAAGGTGACACTGGGAGCAGCAGATGGTGTCATGGTTGCTGGACTCCCACGCGGTCATCTGCGGTTTGAATTCAGGACCTGGCAGCTTAAAACACACCAGGTGTGTGTGCATGTGTTCCCAAAATTCCAAAAGGAGAATGGAGAAGGGACTGTAGCGTGGTTATCTGCCCTGGGGGTGGTGATTTCTCACTTTCTGTCTCTCCTGTGAATGCACGTACCCTATAGTAAAAATCTCTTTAAAAAAAAAAAAGAAGACACTAAGAAACACCTTCTTTAATTGCCAGAGGGTGTGTGTGCTCACCAGAGAGACAGACATGGAGAGACAGAAAGGTGCGGTCACATCACAATCCCTTCTCTACCATTTCTCCATCTTGTTTGGTTTGGCGTACATATACCTATATGTACCTGGCATGTTTTTCAAGCTGCTGGGGCTGAGACTCGAACTATTGTTGGCCATATGGAATCCAGTTCTCTTAATCACAGAACTGGCCCCCCTCCTCCAAATTTTTTTTTTTTTAAAGACTTTTGTCATAGGGTATGTATGATTGCCAGAGAGAAAGAGAGAGAGACAAAGAGAGGAAAAGTGAGAAATCACCCCCTCTGGGCAGATGGCTATGCCACAACATTTTTTCCTCCATTCTCCTCTTGGGATTATTTTGGACATGCACATGTACCTGGCATCACTTTCATGCCACCAGGTCCAAGACTGAAACCATGGAGTTGGCCATGTGGGATCCAGTGTCTCAACCACCATACCACCTGCTAGCCCCAGTAAACTGTTTCTTTATAGTACTTTCATAAAACTTCTCTGGGCTTTTAAGATTTATAAAGGTTAGTCTGATAAAAATATAAAAATAGATATAATAGATATTAATGTGTACAACAAACTTTCAAAAGTTATAATGGCATAATATTACTTGGAACTCTTAAACTGATAAATATTTACTAATCTCAACTGTGTATAGCATATGTATGAGTTGCATTATAAAGCAACAGCAACATAAAACACATATAATACTCTTTTATTTGCCAAAGAGTATGTGTACTCACCAGAGAGAGAAAGACAGAGGGAGAGGGAGAAAGGACCCACCGACGGGACATGGTCATGCCACAATTCCTTCTTCTCCATTTCTCTATCCAGTCGAAATCTGAGGCACACACCCACATGCCCAGCATGTTTCAAGTCACTGGGTCTGGGACTTAAACTACAGTTGGTCATGTGGGATCAGTTCCCTTATCCATCAGGCTATGGGCCAGTCAAGTGCATATTAAATAGTAATTATTCTGACTACTATGACACTGACTTTTAAATTGCCAATGACCAAAAAATGTTTCTTTACAAAAGTCTAATTACTTTTGAGGCCCAACCAAAAGGCTTATTTTATTTCCCAAACTGGTAAAGATAAATAATTGCTAGTTGAAAGGCAATCTGATTTTTAGTTACTTAAAGGGTCCTAAAAGATACACTGGAGAGATGACATGATCCCTTACTTACTCTGCATACTGCTGCCATCCAGGACATTTGTGGCTGAAAGATCCAGAGAATTAGGCCTCTGTGCTCTTCTGGGCTTTGATGGCCCGGGAGCTGCTACTGTGCTTGGAACACCTTGTGTAAGAGCATCTTGTTCTGAACATGGATTGCTGTTGTTGTTATTAGAATTAGTTCGGCCACCTTCTAATGGTCGCTCCCTCCTGTCCACAAGACGATCCAGAACACCTTCGTCATGGCCAGCCTGTTGCTCTCGTCTCAGTAAAGGTTCATGCTCATCAGGACTGGAGTTAATATTCAGCCGGGTATCCTCACCAATAAACTGATTCTGCAGCATTTCTTGGGCCCTGTGTGCCACAGTGTTGCTTGTCTGGCCAGACAGTAGTGCCCCGTTAGCATACTGAGTTGTGGCAGCATGGGAGTTAACACTATGGTTTCTCCCTGCCACACCATTCATAGTGACTGTTACCACATGAGGTTCTGCTGCATTTATTGTATTCATCTTGGCAACTCCAGTTTCTACTTGTTTCAAGTTAGATTTGTGCTTGCTGCCAAATTTTAGCCGGGGCTCCTTTGTTGAATTTTTGGTGTTCAAAGGCAAACTAGTAGGTCTCTTAGGAAGGTTCTGTTGCTTGGGAAGAGGATAGATCTGAGCAGGTGGAACATCAGGAATCAAACACGCTTGGCCATTTGCAGCCTGTGTGAAGTCCTGCTGTCCGGTCACTTCCACTGCAAGCTTTATGAGCGGGTAAAGCAAACTAGAACTGGTACTGCTCAGTGGGTCTGGCCCACTAAACTGTTTAAGAGAATGCTCCATGAGATTCTCATCAGAGCTTTCCTTGAGGTTCTTATCAACTTCTTTTGGGTCTAGCTTATTGGTCTCCAAGTCTTCTTCTGTCAGCTGTAAGCAGACAGGAGTTGGCCCAACTGACTGTGCAACATTGGTGGCATGCAGATTTGTTTCATCTGGGTATGGCAACTCAGATATAGTGGTCATGCCAGTACTTGGAGTGAGGCCAGTGGTGTTCGTGGTGGTTGTGTTAGTGGACAGGCTGGTGACACTTGTTTCAGGGCTGGGAATTCGAGCTTGTGCTTGCTGTCGTTCATAATTAATTGAATTTCGGTTCTTTTCCCCTATAGTCAAGGGGGTGCTGGACAGAGAATGCTCAGAGGAAATATTCTTCACGATGCTGTCTGGGTGGTGAATAGAATCTTCAATGTATGAGGAAGAAGAATAATCTGGATAAGGGCCAATTTTTGGCACACGCCTATTATGTGACAGGTTGCTTAAAGAAAAGAAAAAAAGCATCAAGTTGAGTACATTTATGATAAAACATCTCTCCAAGTTTAACATCTCTGATTTTAAAGTCTGAGCTGCTTTTCATTTTATTACTAATCCATATTACTTTAGAAGTTACTTTAAATGTCTATCAAACAATCAAATGTCAATAACTTTCTAAATACTACTTTTACATGAATTATGCCTACTAAAAAACGTATATGGATCTGTATATGACTTTGTAAATGTTCATTATTTTGGCTTATAGGAGTTAATTTAAAAATCTCTCCTATGATTTTATATCATCAAATATATTTTTATGAGCTGCATGCACACTTGTACAACTACATAGGAGGAGAAATCACAGCATTTGTTTCTTTCATTACTACCATAATTTTCAATACATAGTGTCTACTCAACAACTTGTAATCAGTTAAGTTCCAATGGCCAAATGGTTAAAATACATGCTTTTAGACTGTGCCAAGGTGCCTCCCTTACGAAACATAGTATAGCAATGACACGTATCTTTCTGGGCCAGTCTGAGACACATCAGTGAAAGTCTGAGAGCCTAGAACAGAATATGATACTTAGATAAAAGATTAAAAGATCATAATCACTCTTCATTTATCAAAATTCTTCACATTTACTGTTACTTGTTGGGAACGATGGTTCGTAACCATCACATTATAATGTGCTTATATCAGTAAACGTCTGGTTAAAATAAAAACTAGGGTTAGCTTTAACTGAAACAATCAGGGCATAAACACTGGAAGTTTCAACTTGCAGAAAATTTTTAAAAAGCCTTAAGCCTTTATATTTAGAACCAAAAATCATGGCTCTAACAAATAAAATGTCTCTTAAAATAATGTTTGGAGTGAGAAGACTTTCTGAACTGTTCTCATGTAAAAGTAGGGGTCGAATATCCTCTAAGAAAGAGCATTATTGAATAGGAAGTCTGGGAACTACCCAGTGGTTAGATACCTAGGTAAGTTCTTAGTTCCGATTACATAAAAACAAAACATAATAACAAAAACAAAATGCAGAAAAGGAAGGAATAATAACCAAAAAAAGAGACAATAAATGGAGAAGTACATATAAACTTTTGAAATTATGAAAATGTTTTAATTTTATTATTGCAGGGAACTTGGAAGACTAAGACAGATGGATCTTTTTACTGTAACTTTAGATACATTTCCATTTTGTGCTTATATCAAACAAAAATTTTGAAAGAAAAAGTGTAACTTCAGATCTTATAAGTTGATCACTGTACTATTACTCTGGTTAAACATATTTATTCCCTGTTCTTCATTTGGTCTCAGTTTTTAATACTGACAACTGATGCCAAACCCCTTGGGGTCTTACCGCTCATTCTGCACGGCAGTAGACATTGGGTTGACTGTAGGGCTCACAGATTTGTTCCTTTCCCATATCATCATTAGTTCGGCCATCCTCTCCTCAGCACACTGTGCAGTAAGCCGAGCCTCTGCATCCTGGTCCCAACAGTCTTCGATTGTCTCCTTGAGTGATCTTACTGCCTGTAATACAAAGTACATATCCAGTAATGTGTGTTTTTTTTTTTTTTTTTTTGGAGAGATTTTCACTGTAGGGCGCGTGCGCTCGCCAGACAGACAGAGAGAGACATAGAGACAGAAAGCGAGAAATCACCCCCCAGGGGGGATGGTCACGCCGCAATCCCTTCTCCTCCATTCTCCTCTCGGGATCTTGGGCACGCACGCATACGCGCCCGACGTGAGTTTTAAGCCACCGGGTCCGGGACACGAACCGCGGTCAACTACGTGGGAGTCCAGCGACATAGCCATTACGCTAACTGCTGGTTCCCCAGTAATGTGTTTTTAAAAAAGTTATTGAACTTTTTAGTTCACAAGATGATGTAAAGGAAAAACCAATTTTTCTTAGCTGGTATTTCACAGAGGTAGAATAAAATATAGAATTTGGAGATTTTTAAAGAATCACATTCTCAGAAGGTGAGAATAAGCAAGCAAGTTTTCAATGAACTCCTTGAAGAATTATCTATAAGAGCGTATGAGCAGCTGTACTGAGTTGTAGATGTTTCTTCAAGGCCACCAGTTTATGTCATCACTGTAGATTCACAGTCCTGTTATTTCAATCAACAGCAAAAAAATCCACTTCAAAAATAAGTTTAGAGCTTGATGAAATTTAGGTATTTAGGGACCAGCCGTTAGTGTAATGGCTATGTCGGTGGACTCCC